CCAAGGCTCTGGGTTCATCATAAACCCATCCTTAACTTTTTAAAAGTCTGCTGCACACACCTGCGATACGCCGAACGTTCCACACATGACAAGATAGAAAACCATACACGACACGTAACCGAAGACGTGACATGCGACTAGCCATAACTCTCTATTGACTCAACACACGTATTCAACATCATGACTCATCGTTCACATACGATTATAAGCATGAAATATATATTATTTTATACCATCATACCGTTCCATGCACACACGCATGCACGCATACGGACAACAAGCCAAATGCAAACTACGGGTTTGCACCAACACCGATCAATTGGATCAACACGACTGTTCCTCCAACCGGACCATTGGACCAACAAGCCAGTTGGTCCAACCGGTCCATTGGACCAATCGACAAGTTGGTCCCATTGATCCATTTGACCAACAAGCCAGTTTGTCTAACCGACCCATTAGCCCAACATGCTAGTTGGTCCAAACGATCACTTGGACCAACATGCCAATTGGTCCAACCGGTCTGTTGGACAACAGGTTAGTTGGTCCAACTTGTCCATTGGACTAACCGACCAGTTGGTCGAACCGGTCCATTGGACCAACAGGCCAGTTGGTCCAGCCGGTCGATTAGACAAACAGGCCAGTTGGGTCGGCCGGTCCATCGGACCAACAGGCCAGTTCGTCGAGATGGTTCATTGGACCAACAGGCCAGTTGGTACAACCGGTCCGCGGAACCAACAGGCGTCCAGCCAGTCCGTTCGATCAACAGGCCAATTGGTCCTACCAGTTTATTGGACCAATACGCCAGTTGGTCCAACCGGAAAATTATACTAAGACGCCAATTGGTCCTACCTGTCCATTTGACGAACAGGCTAGTTGGTCCAAACCGTCGCTTGGACCAACACACATATTGGTCCGACCAGTCTGTTGGACAAACAGGCTAGTTGGTCCGACCTGTCGATTCAACAAACCGGCGAGTTGGCCCAACCGATCAATTCGACCAAAAGGCTAATTGGTCCAACTGGTCCGTTTGACCATTATGCCACTTGGACCAACCGGTCCACTAGACCAGCAGGCTAGTTGGACCAAAAGGCCATTTGGTCCTACCGGCACATTGGACCAATAGGCCAGTTAGTCCAACCAGTCCATTAGACCAATAAGCTACCAAGTCTATTGAACAAACACGTCAATCAGTCCAACTAGTCAATTGGACCAACACGCCAGTTGGTCCAACCAGTCTATTGGTCCAGCCTGCCAGCTAGTCTTACCAGTCTATTAGATCAGCAGGCCCAGTTGGTCCTACCATCCATTGGACCAAGAGGCCAGTTGGTCCAACCGGTCCATTGGACCAACACGAAAGTTGGTCCATCCAGTCCATTGGACCAACAGGCTAGTTGGTCCAACCGGTCCAGTGGACCAACACACCAATTCGTCCTATCGGTACATCCCACGAATAGGCTAGTTGGTCCAACCAGCCCATTGGACAAACTAGCAATTCGTCCTACCATTGGACCAACAGGCTAGTTGGACAATTGGTCTAAGAGGGTCCTACCGGTCCATTCGACCAACATGTAATTGGTCCAACCGGTCCTTAGGACCAACGGGCCGATTCGTCCTACCAGTACATTGGACCAATAGGTCAGTTGGCCCAACTGATCCATTGGACCAACAAGCCAATTGGTCCATTGGACCAATACTCTTGTTGGCCCAACAGGTCCACTGGACCAACCGACCAGTTGGTCCATTCGGTTCGTTGGACCAACAGGCCAGCAAATCCTACCGATCTATTAGACCAAGAAGCTAGTTGGTCCTACAGGTCTATTGGACGAATACAACAGTTGGTCCAACCGGTCCATTCAACCAACGGGCTAGTTGATCCAACCGATCGTCTGGACCAACATGCCAGTTGGTCCTACCAGTTGGTTTGGATAAACAGGCCAGTTGGTCCAACTGGTCCTGTGAGCGAGCTGGTCCAATCGGTCCATTGGACCAACAGGCCAGTTTGTCCAACCGGTCTATTAGATCAACAGGCCAGTTTGTCCAACAGGTCCACTTGGACCAACAGGCCAGTTGGTCCTAACTATTCTTTAGTCCAACAGGCCAATGGTGAAACAGTCGCTTGGACCAACACACCAATCGGTCCAACTGGTCTGTTGGACCAACCAACCAGTTGATCGAACTGGTCGATTGGACCAACCGGCGAGTTGGTCCAACCGATCAATTGGACCAGAAGGCTGATTGGTCCAACTAGTCCTTTTGACCAATATGCCACACCAACCGGTCCATAAGACCTGTAGGCTAGTTGGACCAAAAGGCCACTCGGTCCTGCCGGCACATTGGACCAATGGGCCAGTTGGTCCAACCGGTCCATTGGGCCAATAAGCTAACAAGTCCATTGAACAAACACGCCAATTTGTCCAACTAGCCAATCAGACCAACACGCCAGTTGGTCCAACCAGTCCAATTGTCCAACTGGCCAGCTGGTCCTACTGGTCTCTTAGACCAACAGGCCAGTTGGTCCTACCATCCATTAGACCAAGAGGCCAGTTGGTCCTAACGGTCCATTGGACCAACACGAAAGTTGGTCCAACCAGTCTATGGGACCAATGAGCCAATTGGTCCAACCGGTCCATTGGACCAACAAGCTAGTTGGACAATTGGACTGAGATGCTACTTGGTCTTACCAGTCCATTGGACCAACAGGCTAGTTGGTCCAACCGGTCCATTGGACCAACAGACCAATTCGTGGATAAACAGGTGAGGTGGAAAGCCAAGGGCAAGGGGGGGAGAGTGGAGGTGCAGGGAGAGGGGGGAGGAGGGGAGCGGAGAAAAGCAGCGAGGTGCAGGGAGGGGAGACACCGAGCGCAGAGGGGCCAGAAACGAGGGGTGGGGTGCGGATTGGGGAGAGGCAGGGAGTGGAGTAGCTTAACGAGTGGAAGGAAGAAGCGTGCGGCAGAGTGGGGGAGGGGGGAGGAGAAGGTAAACGAGGGGAGGGCACGGGCGGGGAGGGACGAGCGGCGGGCGGTGGGAAACGGCAAGGGGGGGCAGGGAGGGTCAAAAGAGGCAGCGAGGGAGCGGGCACACGGAGGGTAGGGGCGGGGGGAGCGGATGGCACGAGGGGGCAGGGGGTGTGACTATGAAGGGGGGACCCCGGGCAAGGGGCGTGTACCGGTCGGGGCATGGGACGGACGTGGTACGATCATACCTCGGCTACTACGCCGGATCCCATCAGAACTCCGAAGCTAAGCGCCGGTGGGCGAGAGCAGTACTGGGCTGGGTGACCTCCCGGGAAGTCCTCGTGTTGTACCCATTTATGCCGGCACGTGCCGGGGAGAGGCAAGCAGGAAAAAGAAAGGACGATTTTAGCGCGTCGCATTTTTCCAACCTCGTTTTTTTGCCCGAATGACGGCTCAGCGGGGTGGGGCAAGAGAGGCTTGCCCGCGCGAAGAAACGCCCCGTGCACACGACCGTTGGGCGGTTGGAAGCCGCACGCGGTCGCGGGGGTGGAGAGCGGAAACGGGCAGCCGGGGAAGGGTGGGGGCGGTTGGATGGGATTGGGGTGTACGGGGGGCCAGAGAGTTGAGAAGGCAAGGGGATGGGCAGCAACGGGCAGGGGTTGGGCCAGCTGAGGGCAAGGAAAAAGGGCGGGCAGAGGGTGAGCAGAGGGGCGAGCGGTGCAAGGGAGGCACCAGAGGGAGGAAACCAGTTGCATCAAGGTGGGAGGTGAGGGGCTTGCAGGGGGGTGGAACAGGGGTAGGGAAGGGGCAGAACGGGAGGATGTGGGTAGGGGGGGTGCGGGGAGAAGAGAGAGAGAGAGAGAGGGAGAGAGAGAGAGAGAGAGAGAGAGAGTGAGAGAGAGGGTGGAAACTGTTGGTGTAAGGGCCTAATAAACTCAAGCTATTAGGACTTAATCAAACTTAATACCTCTCCTCGGGGTCACCTCCAAGGGTCCCTGGGTGCCTGGTACAAGACCAGCCCCTATCCTCGGGTCCGAGTTTGTAGAGAGAGGGATCAAGAAGGACTTAGTCAAAACAGCAAGAGTATCTTGAACGTCGCGCAGCGTGCCGTGCAGACCGTCGGTCGGATTAAGCTGAGAATTCGCTATATCGAAGCTCGCTCCAAGAGCTTTAAAATGAGCCAAGTTGCCTCGCGAAAAGTTCTGCCATTACTAAGTTATGGCTCGGACAGCGTTTGCCTAGCGTTGGAGTGCTAGCATACTAGCGTTGACTCGGGTAGCATTCCGCCGTCGAATAGCGCAGAAACGAAATTCCAGCGAGGAAGGAATTCGCTTGAATCAATTTGACTATATTCAGGTACAAACAGAGAAGGATTAAATAGTTCTAGCTAGCAAGGACCTTGGGAATCAACCTGGGAACAACCAGGGATGATCCCAAATAATTCCAAGCAACAGAACCAACCTGGCTGGACAAAATAGCAGGTGGTAGGTTGGTAAACAACCTCTGGTTCTGTTTTTCCAACCTGGGAAAACAACAACCAGGTTCAGGTTCTAAAAACAGAACCTGTTTTGTCTTTGCCCAACCAGCCAAATGCTGGTTCCGCTGGTTTCCCCTGGCCTTGTAGCATGCAGATACAGACAAACAACATCCAACCTTCACCTAAATTGTACCCCTATAGTGCCTTCCCTGCTACACTATAGTTAACCAAACAAAACAGTACAATTCCGAGTTGGATAGAACTGAATCTGCGCAATCAACTCAACCGAACTGCAAAGCTTCCATCTTGGGTTCCTTTGCGAGCTCGTCCTTTCTGCTTGCACTGTTCATAGCGCATACAATGTTGTGCCGAAGCGCACATTGCGCGAGTACCTGCAAATGCATCAAGCGAAAAATGCGAAAGCAAACAAACACACGAACACACCATTCACACACAAATGCATTCGCACACGCATACTCGTACAAACAGACGGCAGGATGTCGTGCAATGTGCATTTGCACCCAACACACTCCCCCTCAGCCTGCCGGCTGCATCCCCGTCATTCCATGCTAGTTCATGCTCATTCCACTCATGCGCACACAACGCCAATGAGGCTCATCCGCAAGCCTCTTGGTGAGAAAGTCTGCTGGCTGCTGGTGAGTCTTGATGTAGATCGGATTCACCGTCCCCCTCTTCACCTCCTTACGCAGCCAGTGCCACTTGATACGCATGTGCTTGTTCAGCCCATGAAGCACAGCGTTTCTGGCCATCCCAAGAGCCCCCTTGCTATCACAAAACAGCGGCATAGCAACTTTCTGCTCCTGGCCAATCTCCTCTAACAGCCTCCTCAGCCAAATCACCTCCTTCACCCCATGGAACATCGCCATGTACTCTGATTCTACGGAAGAGAGTGCCGTCTCCGTCTGCTTCTTGGACCTCCAACTAACAGGTCCTCCCCCAACTACGCAGATGTATCCTCCCACAGATGAGGAATCCTCCTTCTCAGAAGCCCACGTAGCATCGGTAAAGCAAGTGAGAAATAGCTTGCCTTCTCCAAGCCTCTCCCCCTTCTCTTTCAGCACCTCCACCCCTTTCTGCTTCACCTGTGCAGATGCGGAGTATTGAACTCCAATGCTTGGGTGAGAGTTCAGGTACTTCACCACACGCTCAGCTGCATCCACCTGCTCCTCTGATGGATTCTGCACCACCCTAGCCAGCTGCCCAACCGAGAAAGAGATGTCGGGCCTCGTGTGAACTGCTGCGTACAAGAGGCTGCCCACCAAGGACTGAAATTGCTGCTGCTCTTCAGCTTCAACCCCTTCATCCTCTGCAGCCTTCAGAAGCTTGAATTTTGCTGGCAGGGGAGTTGCAACCTTGCGCTCATTCTCAATCCCATACTTCTCCCCCAGCTCCTTGATGAACTTCTCCTGGTGCAGCTTCAACCACCTGTGATCTGGATCCCTCTCCACGTGCATCCCGAGGTAGTACTTTACCTCCCCAAGGTTCTTGCACTTGAAGTTTTCCATCAGTTGCTGCTGCACTTTCTGGATCTCCTTCATGCTGCTGCTGAAGAGAAGAATGTCGTCCACATAGACCAGAAACAGCACCAGCTTCTCCCCCTCACCCTTGAGAAAGAGGCTCTCATCACAGCTGCTGGTCCTGAATCCCATCTCCTCTAAAACAGCTGCCAACTTCTGGTACCAGCAGCGTGGCGCCTGCTTCAAGCCGTAGATGGACTTGTTGAGCTTGCACACCCTGCCCGTACCATCCTCATACCCAGGCGGCTGCGTCATGTACACATCCTCCTCTAAAATCCCATTCAGGAATGCCGTTGAAATATCCATCTGAATGATGAATTTTCCACTAACAGCTGCATCTGCCAACAAGACACGGAGGGTAGGGGGTTTGGCAGTGGGAGCAAAGATCTCGTTGAAGTCCTGCTTCTCCTTCTGCATAAACCCCTTCGCCACCAGCCTACTCTTGTAGATGGTGACCTGCCCCTTGTCATCGGTCTTGATCCTCAGCACCCACTTGCATTGTATCGCTTTCTTCCCATCAGGCAGCACCACCAGATCCCATGTCCTATTCTCCAGCAGACTCTGGTACTCAGCATCCCTAGAAGCCAGCCACTTGTCCCTATCTGGTCCAGCTAATGCCTCCTCCATGCTAGCTGGTTCCTCTGGTGCAGGGGCAAGAAAACAGTACGCAGGCTCATCCTCCTCATCCGGGTCATAGCCATGAGGTAGAATCAGCAATGCCTCTTCGGTCCCTAGCTGCTGCTCTGCTGCATCAGTTCCTGCAGTCAGCTTCTTAGTAGCCATACGGGTACGTCCTGGCCTGGAGACGGGTGTCTCCCATCCCTTCATAACGACACCCTTCGGCTTCTTAGTTTTTCCCTGCTGCTTCTCTCCTCCCTCGGGTCCAGCAGCTCCACTAGTGCTGCCGCCAGTTTCCACACCATTTTCTCCACCAGCAGATGCCTCCTGTACCTTCTCTCCATCACCATTTCCAGCAGCTGCCTCCTCTCCCTCCTCCCACACACTAGGAGTCAGGTCCAGCTGCATGGTGATCTGCTCCATCTGCTGGGACACCCTTGCCTCCGGCTGTTTCTCCCAGCTCCCATACATCATGCCCTCAATGAATTTCACATCCCTGCTGTCAAACAACACACCCTTGGATGGTTCCCACAGCAGCCATCCCTTGCTCTCAGCAGCCAGCCCCAAATGCACACACCAGATTGCACTCGCCCCCAACTTACTGCGGTAGGTCTTGGGGACGTGGGCGACTGCCATGCAGCCAAACACCCTCAGCATATCCACCGGCGGCTTCCTCCCAAGCCACCTCTCCAACGGCACCCACGAGTCATCCCCAACCTTGGTGAGCACCCTGTTCCTAGCGACAGTGGCGTGCCGGACAGCATGAGGCCACATAGAATTGCTCAGCCCAGATTCTATGAGCAGCGCCCTAGCTGTCTCCAGAATGGTCCGGTTTGCCCGTTCTGCTACACCATTGGACTGTGGGGTATAAGCCGTGGTCAGCTCTCTCTGGATGCCCTGCTTCTTGAGCCAGGCCGTCATTTCAGCTCCAAGGAACTCACCACCCCGGTCTGTCCTAATCCGCTTCACTACACACTCCGCCTGCTTCTCCACGAATGGCAGCCAATCGTCCCGTATCGTGGAGGCGGCGTGGTCCTTCTGCTTCAGCGGATACGCCCACATCAGCCTGCTCCAGTCATCCACAATTGTAAGAAAATACCGCTCCCCCTTGTGCCCTTGCACCGGCAGCGGCCCCACCAAGTCCATGTGGACCAGCTCCAAAGGCTTCTTGCTCCTGCCAGCCACACTATGGAAAGGGAAACGGGTGAACTTTGAAAGCAAACAGATTTCACAGTTGTCATCGGGTGGCTGTCCGTTCAGCTTCAGACCCTTAACGGCTCCGTCCTTCTCCAGCTGCTTCAGCAAAGGCATTGCCACATGCCCTAAGCGCCGGTGTGCCGTTGCCCAATCTGTCTCCCCAGATCTGGCCGACACTTTCACACCAACCCCTCCAACGGCATTGCACTCCCCCTGGGATGCAGACCCCTCTCCAGCCTGCCCCCCACCATGCCACGCCAGGGCCGGCAGCTGCCACATAGATCTGTACACGTCCTTGCTCTCGTGCAGATCCCAAAGCACCCGATTGCCCAGCTTCCCCTTATAAGTGCGTGCCCCATCCGTGTTGGTGTTCACCCCAGCCTTGCCAAGCTTACGGAGGGAGATAAGGTTGGCCTTCAGGTCGGGGACGAAGAGAACGTCGTGCAGCACCACCGGCTTGCCATCCGCTCCCTTAAACGCAGCTCGTCCCGCACCAGCCACCTTCAACATGTGTCCAGAGGCGGAGCACACTTCATTGATCGGTGCAGCTCGTACTTCGTCCAGCAGGTCCTTGCGCGGCGTCATCGTCCAAGCAGCGCCTGTGTCCAACACCCAATAGTCTAGGGGGTGCAGCTCTGCTCCAACTTTGGCAGAGGCGTCTCCTTGCTCCCCCTTGTCTCCTACATGGAAGAATTGGCCCGCGGTGCGCTCCTTCTTCTTCTCCGCACCGCCGTTGCCCTTCGGGTTGTTGTCGGACGAATCAGCGACCATGTTGGCGCCGTTTTTCTGGTTCCTCCGCGCGCCGCCATCCTGGTGACGATTCTGGGGGGTCCATCCATCGGGTTTCTTATAGCACAAAAACCAGGGGTGCCCTTCCTTCTCACAATACCAGCAACTCCCTTTCATTTTGCCACCAGCACCCGACTTGCCCCCACGTCCAGATTTCGCACCGCGACCCCAACCGGTACCTCCTTGTTGGTCGTTGGAGTCGTCGTCTTTCTTTGCACCGCGTCCAGCACCACCGAAGCCACGTCCTCTGCCACGTCGGCTCCCTTGCATCCCGTAGCCGCTGCTGCCGTCGTCTCCACCCCTCAGTTGGCGGCGACGGAAGTCCTCCTCCAGAATCTTCGTCCGCACCCACTCGAGCGTCCACAAGCTCTGGTTCTGCGGCAGGCTCAATCCGCTCGTAAATTGAAGCCACGATTCTGGCAGCAGCGAGAGCATCTTCAAGCACTTGGTCTGCTCCGGGTAGGTGATTCCCGCGGTCGCCAACTTCGCGTAGAGGTCGCGCATCTTGTCCAGGACTGGTTGCACCGGCTCTCCCTCGCTCAGGCGCAACGCAGACAGCTCCCTCTCCAGCATCAACGTTGCGACAACGGAGGTCGGGGCGTGCAGCTCCTTCAACACGGTCCACGCCTTCGGACCGCATTCAACCTCCGGCAGCAGGTGCATGACGTGGTGACGCTGGTTCAGCTCCAAACTCTGCGACATCAAATAGTAGCCAGCCGAGGAGCGCTCGTCCCAATCTTCCTGCAGCGTGGGGTCACTCGGTCTAGGCTCCTCCCCAATCATTAGTTTCAGCAAACCGATCTGACGGAAATATAATTGCATTTTCCAGGCCCAATCATCATAGCCCTCACCATTGAACTTCTCGACGGTGAAATTCTTCAGCACCTCCTTGACAAGCGAGCCCTGGTTTGTTCGCGCTCCCCTTGGCGCTGAAAGACCAGAATCTTGGCTGCCGCTACGATCTTGGGCTGAAGATTCACCAGCTCCCGCCGAGGTGTTGCCCGCCATAGCTACCTATAACGAGGATCACTATAACGCAGCTCTGATACCAGCTTGTTGGTGTAAGGGCCTAATAAACTCAAGCTATTAGGACTTAATCAAACTTAAAACCTCTCCTCGGGGTCACCTCCAAGGGTCCCTGGGTGCCTGGTACAAGACCAGCCCCTATCCTCGGGTCCGAGTTTGTAGAGAGAGGGATCAAGAAGGACTTAGTCAAAACAGCAAGAGTATCTTGAACGTCGCGCAGCGTGCCGTGCAGACCGTCGGTCGGATTAAGCTGAGAATTCGCTATATCGAAGCTCGCTCCAAGAGCTTTAAAATGAGCCAAGTTGCCTCGCGAAAAGTTCTGCCATTACTAAGTTATGGCTCGGACAGCGTTTGCCTAGCGTTGGAGTGCTAGCATACTAGCGTTGACTCGGGTAGCATTCCGCCGTCGAATAGCGCAGAAACGAAATTCCAGCGAGGAAGGAATTCGCTTGAATCAATTTGACTATATTCAGGTACAAACAGAGAAGGATTAAATAGTTCTAGCTAGCAAGGACCTTGGGAATCAACCTGGGAACAACCAGGGATGATCCCAAATAATTCCAACCAACAGAACCAACCTGGCTGGACAAAATAGCAGGTGGTAGGTTGGTAAACAACCTCTGGTTCTGTTTTTCCAACCTGGAAAAACAACAACCAGGTTCAGGTTCTAAAAACAGAACCTGTTTTGTCTTTGCCCAACCAGCCAAATGCTGGTTCCGCTGGTTTCCCCTGGCCTTGTAGCATGCAGATACAGACAAACAACATCCAACCTTCACCTAAATTGTACCCCTATAGTGCCTTCCCTGCTACACTATAGTTAACCAAACAAAACAGTACAATTTCGAGTTGGATAGAACTGAATCTGCGCAATCAACTCAACCGAACTGCAAAGCTTCCATCTTGGGTTCCTTTGCGAGCTCGTCCTTTCTGCTTGCACTGTTCATAGCGCATACAATGTTGTGCCGAAGCGCACATTGTGCGAGTACCTGCAAATGCATCAAGCGAAAAATGCGAAAGCAAACAAACACACAAACACACCATTCACACGCAAATGCATTCGCACACGCATACTCGTACAAACAGACGGCAGGATGTCGTGCAATGTAAATTTGCACCCAACAAGTCTTCTCCCATATCTGCTGCATGGTGGCGACAAGGCAATGTGCGGCATTGACGTATGCCGGTGTGGTTGGCTGTTGTGGTGCAATTGGTTCCTGTCCGTAACACAGGAAGAAAGGAGATTTCCCCGTGGCCGTATGTAAAGCATTGTTGTAAGCGAACTCAAGCGATAGTAATTGTAGATTCCAGTGGCTGATATTATCATTTCATGGTGCTGAAACTGTTCAACCACCTGATTGAGTCGCTCTGTCTGTCCGTCAGTCTGGGAGTGCTATGCCAACGACATTGCAAGCTTTGTCTCCAACATGTTGGGTGAAAATTCACATTGCATGACATCCTCCCGTCTGTTTGTACGAGTATGCATGTGTGAATGCATTTGGGTGTGAATGGAATGTTTGTGTGTTTGTTTGCTTTCGCATTTTTTTCGCTTGATGCATTTGCAGGTACTCGCGCAATGTGCACTTCGGCACAACATCGTAGGCGATATGAATAGTGCATGCAGAAAGGACGAGCTCGCAAAGGAACCAAAGATGGAAGCTTTGCGGTTCAGTTCTATCCAACTCGAAATTGTACTGTTCTGTTTGGTTGACTATAGTCTAGCAGTGCAGGCACTATAGGGGTACAATTCAGGTGAATGTTGGATTGTTTGTCTATATCTGCATGCTACAGGGCCAGGGAAAACCAGCGGAACCAGCATTTGGCTGGTTGGGCAAAGACAAAACAGGTTCTGTTTTTAGAACCTGAATCTGGTTGTTGTTTTCCCAGGTTGGAAAAACAGAACCAGAGGTTGTTTACCAACCTACCACCTGCTATTTTGTCCAGCCAGGTTGGATCTGTTGCTTGGAATTATTCGGGATCATCCCTGGTTGTTCTCAGGTTGATTCCCAAGGCCCTTGCTAGCTAGAACTATTTATTCCTTCTCAGTTTCTACCTGGATATAGTCAATTGATTCAAGCGAATTCCTTCCTCACTGGAATTTCGTTTCTGCGCTATTCGACGGTAGAAGGCTACCCGAGTTAACGCTAGTATGCTAGCACTCCAACGCTAGGCAAACGATGTCCGAGCCATAATCTCATAATGGCAGAACATTTTGCGAGGCAACTTGGCTTATTTTAAAGCTCTTGGAGCGAGCTTCAATATAGCGAATTCTCAGCTTAATCCGATCGACGGTCTACACGGCACGCTGCGCGACATTCAAGGTACTCTTGTTGTTTTGACAATGTCCTTCTTGATTCCTCTCTCTACAAACTCGGACCAGAGGATAGGGGCTGGTCTTGTACCAGGCACCCAAGGACCCTTGGAGGTGAGCTCAAGGTAATTAAGTTTTATTAGCTTGAGTTTATTAGGCCCTTACACTAACAAGCTGGTACCAGAACTTCGATATTGTGATCCTCGTTATATGTAACTATGGCGGGCAATACCTCGGCGGGAGCTGGTGAATCTTCAGCCCAAGATCGTAACGGCAGCCAAGATTCTGGCGTTTCTGCACCAAGGGGAGCGTGAACCAACCAGGGCTCGTTGATCAACGATGTGCTGAACAACTTCACCGTCGAGAAGTTCAATGGTGAGGGCTATGATGATTGGGCCTGGAAAATGCAACTCTACTTCCGTCAGATTGGATTGCTGAAACTAATGATTGGAGA